GATTTTGTTCTGTTTTACAGCTGAGTAGTATTCCATTGTATATATGTACCACATCATCTTTATCCATTCTGTTGCTGGGCACTTAGATTGCTTCCACGTCTTGGCTATTGTAAATAATGCTGCAATAAACATTGGGGTGCATAGGACTTTTGGGATTGCTGACTTCAAGCTCTTTGGATAAATACCCAGTAGTGGGATGGCTGGATCGTATGGTAGTTCTATTTTTAATTTTTTGAAGAATCTCCATTCTGTTTTCCATAGTGGCTGCCCCAGTTTGCATTCCCACCAGCAGTGTGTGAGGGTTCCTTTTTCTCCGCACCCTCTCCAACATTTGTTACTATTAGTTTTAGATATTTTTGTCATTCTAACGGGTGTAAGGTGATATCTTAGTGTAGTTTTGATTTGCATTTCCCTGATGATTAGTGATGATGAGCATCTTTTCATGTGCCTGTTGGCCATCCGTATATCATCTTTGGAGAAATGTCTGTTCATGTCTCCAGCCCATTTTTTGATTGGATTGTTTGATGTTTTGTTGTTGAGCTGCGAGAGTTCTTTATATATTATGGATATTAAGCCTTTGTCAGATATATGGCTTGCAAATATTTTTTCCCAGTTAGTGGGTTGTTTTTTTGTTTCAATCCTGTTTTCATTTGCCTTGAAGAAGCTCTTTAGTCTGATGAAGTCCCATTTGTTTATTCTTTCTATTGTTTCCCTTCTCTGAGAAGGCATGGTGTCCGAAAAGATCCTTTTAATACTGATGTCAAAGAGTGTACTGCCTACGTTTTCTTCCAGAAGCCTTTTCATAAGATTGATTCTTAGCCACTTGAATCAACTTTGAATTTCTGGAAATCAACTCCACTTGGTTATGATTGTTGGATTGAATTCCCTAAAATTTTGCTAAGAAATTTTGCATCCATGTTTGGACATTAGGAATATTAGCCTGCAGTTCTCCTTTCTTGTTTTGTGTTTGTCTGGGTTTGGGAATTAGGGTAGCATTGGCCTTATGACCTTAACACTTAACATTTGGGAAGTGTTCTCTCCTCTGTTTCTGAAAGATTCCAGGTAAGGTGATTATTATTTCTTCCTTAAGAATTCACCAATGAAGCAAGCTAGACCTGGAGGGTTTTTTCTGGAAGCTTTATGAATTTGATATATTTAATTGATCTAGGGATATTCAAATTTTCTATCTTTTTGGTCAGTTTTTGTCATCTGTATCTTTCATGGAAATTTTTTCCAGTTCATCTAGGTCAAATGTATTGGCGTAAAGTTGTCCATAATATTGCCTTATACTTTTAATGTCTGTAGATTGTGTAGTGATACTCCCCTCTTATTTTGATTTTAGTATTACGTGTCTTCTTTTTTTCTTCGTCAGTCTAACCTAGAAGCTTATCAGTTATTGATCATTTCATTGAGTCAGCTTTCATGATTTCTCTGTTGTTTTCTATTTCATTGATTTCTGCTCTTTATTCTTTCCTTCTACTTTGGGGTTTCTAATTTTTTAAGGTAGGAACGAAGATCACTAATTTTGGATTTTTTCCCCCCAATATAAGCATTTAAAGCAATAAATTCCCTCTAAATACTGCTTTAGTTGCATCCAACAAATCTTGATAGGTTGCATTTTCATCATCATTCTATTCAGAGTATTTTTTAATTTCCCTTCAGTTTTCTTCTTTGACCATGAATTATTTAAAAGGGTATTGTTTTACTTTCCAAATATTTGAGGTTTTCCTAGTTATCTTATTGTTAATTGATTTATAATTTAATTCCATTCAGAGAACATACCTTGAATTTCAGTCTTTTTAACTTTATTGACATTGTTTTATGACTTAGCACATCCTGGTGAATTTAGTATGCACTTGAAAAGAATGTGTATTCTGCTATTGTTAGGTATAGTGTTCTATAAATGTCATTTAAGACAGGGTTGATAATATTCAGATCATCTGTGTCTTTGCTTATTTTTTCTAATGATATTGGTTGCTGAGAGAGTAGTGGAGAAACAAGTTACACCTCAAATGGCAGATGTGGTAAAGTAATAATTGCAAAGGGATGTGCATACAAGGATAGGAGTAATTTGTGACCATATTTTATAACCTACCATAGGGTTCTTTTACCTATTCTTTGTGCTTTTGTATATATTTAAATTTTCCATAATAAAATCTTAAAAACTGAAACCTCTTGGGTAATGATGTCATATTTCAGGGAGTGCATGCCACATGTTCCACCAGCTGTAGTGTTTAAAAACGAAATTCAGCCGAGTAAATTTGGCAATCTAATGGGCTTTATTAAATGATTCATGAATTAGACAGCATCTCATCTGGCAAGCAGAGAGATACTCCCAGCGGCTTCTCTCGAGGAGTATCAGTGTGAAGGCTTTTATAGTAAGGAGGGTGGGACAAGGAAAGGAAGTCATCAGCAACGAAAAAACGAAAGTTCATTGGAGGAATAGTAAAAGTTCAGGTGACAAGAGCTTCTCATTGGCTGAGCTGCAGCGTTTCTACTGACTGGGCTTATTGCTGGGCAAGAAGAAAATCTTCCTGCCTCCCGCTAAAGTAAAATATTTGTACTTTATGTTTGGGAATGCCAAGTACTCTCTTCCTGTTGGGGTCTATAACTGATGCTGTAATTAACTGACTCTGTAACTGATATCTTCCTGTTTGGGATAGTTACCATGTAGTGGTAGAGTTGACAGCTCCCTCTACGGGCCTTCCCAACTCCAATTTTAGTTGAGGTTTCCTTTTTTAATTTTAACAATAGGAAAAATGTTTGGGATTTCTATTTATGTTTACCTCATCATTTAAAAGGTTCTGTTTCGGCATACGTTTTATAGTGCATGGTATATCCACTAATCTTATATATAATTTTTACATATTGATACAAGTGTTTAGGGGAGAATTATATAATATAATATATTTTCTGGCTATTGTTGTTTAAAAATAGTAATTTTACCCCAATGGTGATGTCAGTTTTGTTCCAAAAGTCATGGTATCATTTGGATGGTCTTGTAAACCTTATCTTAAATTTTACATTAAAATAAAATTTTGTGTGAGATATTCATTTTTAAATGCTTTGTTTTGTCAAGTTTTTAATTGAGGTGTTTTTATACTCTAAAACTTTTGACTCACTGTCAGAACTTAAAGTTTTAAGTTTCTGTTTCAGAGAAGGCTGAAACTGTAATTCCAAAATTAGATGAGTTAGCAGTGTGATCTTACAAGGAAACAAAACAAGCTTCTGACAAGAAAAGAGATGAAAGAAATAGTGTCTGAAGTTCTGTTCCTTATATAAGTATGAAATTAAGAGCATTTTCTAATAATCAGTAGCAAAAATTCGGGGGAAAGGAATTTAGTCTTTGCCCTTATTAATTATTCCTACCGAAAACCTTATCTCTTTTTCCACCTGGAATGTTTACTTCAAGCATCATTTGAAATAAAAAAAGCAAAGGGAATAATATGACTGGTAGGCAGAAAATAAATTAAGAAACGGAATTATACCCAAACCTGTACTAGCCTCAGTTCCCTTCTCAATCCCATCCCCCCAACCTCCATTCTACTTTAAGCACAAAGAGTAAATCACAAAAAAAAAAAAAACACATTCCAAATGTTAGTTTTAGAATTTACAGTACCCGGACTCATACAATTTAGTTTTTTATCCATTTGCTGCAGTTAGCAATATCAACAGTTTTCTAATATTAGGAAGATTTACATTCTAAATTTTAGCTTTGTCACTCTGTATATTAAGAATATATTTATGTTCATGGATCTGAGAGAATGTTGTTAAGGGCTTTTGTTAACTAAAAAGCACTTTCAACATTATATGAGGTGATTACTATATCATAAGGCAAGAACTGGACAAATGTTTTTGGCAGTTTAAATACAAATAATGTTTTTTTGGAAGGGGTTTTTGGTTTTTTGTAAACCTTTAGGTGATAAGAAAACTTGACTACATTTCCCGTTTCTTGAGCATAATATAATTAAGATTTTCCTTAATCTAAAAGCAACTTTGTAAAATCTGTTAACACTCAGAGAATAATTTACAATAAGGGCTCTTTTGCAGGCCAATATCATTAGGTAGGAGAATTGAATTTCTAGCTTTTAAATGGGATTTATATATTAAAAAATACAGACAGTGATATATTTGGATATTAGCAGGTTATTTGGCAAAGTTCCTCATGAGATATCTTGAAGAACAGTACTAAGAGACGTGGGCTGAATAATAATACAATTAGACTGATTTGTAATTTAGCTCAATAAACACAGATTGAATTCTTGTTATCCAGAGGAATATGGCATTCTATCCTTTTTTTTAAAATCAGTGACTGGAATGAGGACAGATAGCATGTGTTTTTGTTTTTTTAATTCATAGATGATGTGAATCTGGGATACATACTCCTGATAAATTGGATGACATTCATTTAGAAAACAAAATGATCTTGATGAGTTAGAACAGGATATCTCATTAACAAGATAACTCTTAGTAAAACATAAATGTAAACTCTTACTTTGCCTCCCAACAAAAAATTTAACAGTACACCATAAAAAATGGAGGTTCCAAAGCATATCTAATGACGTAGAAGCTTATTCCTATTATATTCCCAAAAAGCAAGATTCAGAATTATATTCACAATGGGATCTCAATTTTGTGTTAAAATATATATATATATTAGAAAGTACAAAATATTAACAATATTTCTAGATAGTATGAGTAGGCGTGGTTTTCTTTTCATTTTGCCTTTATTTCCAAATTCTCTACAGTGAGCACGGATCTTGAATAACACACACCAGAGATAAGAAAGTGTTTAAATTTTTTGATGGTGCAAATGTGTAGTCTGAGCATATGTTGATTTATATTGTTACAATAAAGATGTCCTTCCTCCTCTCTGTAATAATAGTCCCCGTGGTACAAAAATCAGCATCAACTGTAGTGCTCTCAGTGTGTCACTGTTTCTCATTCTGTTACTATGAACCCATTGACTCTTACTTTGATTTTTTTTCTCTTCATCAAAGGCTGAATTAATAAAGGGGAATTTACAAAGTGTCGGACTTACGCTTCGTCTTGTTCAGTCAACTGATGGGTATGCTGGGCACGTCATAATTGAGACTGTGGCCCCAAACTCACCTGCTGCACTTGCAGATCTTCAGCGGGGAGATCGACTGATTGCTATTGGAGGTAATTATACTAATAAGCAATATACCTTACATTTACAGAGGTACCAGAGAGTAGATATGGGCATTTTTCCTTTCTTCCTTCTTTATTTCTATACACATGCGTTACTTTTATAATGGAAAGAAAGTAATAACTTTATTATAAATAAAAATCTGAAGGAAGCCTTAAAAAATTAATTTAAAACACATATGCTGTTTTAGTCCTAATGTATAAATCTTTAAAATACTTTATCTTTAGACCGCTTTTCTATAACCTCTCTAATTTTCCTTTCCTTCCTACCTTCTACTCCTCTATTTTTTTTTTATCAAATGTGAAAGAAAGGGCAAGTCATCGGTTACCTTTCTGTATGACCCACCACCATTACTACTCTGAGCCTAAAATTGACAGTATTAACATTACTTCCTGCATCACACAGGACTAGATAATGAACAGGAGAGAGACTAATATTCCTTGTCCAAGAGGGCACACCTGAACTGTCCAGTGGCCCCATATTGGTGGCCCCATATTTTCCCTAATTGGTCAGCCATTTGTTAATATGCTGTCATTCAGAGTGCAGCCCAAATCACTATTGCTGGCAGAAAAATGTGTCACCTGCATGCCTTCCTATCAATTGGATTGATAACAACAAAACTCTCTGTTGATAGGCAGATTATTTACTTGGATATTTATGAATAAGCAGTAGGACTCATTGTGCACACCAGTGGGAAAGAAGTCCAAACCTTTTCAGAGTTTTGTACCTGGGCCACCCATTCTAGGCTTGTCAAGAGATTTTCTGAACACGAAGTTTGTCATAGTTGACCTTTTAAAGGCAGTGTGTGGTATATTCTCTCACAGCTAAGGCAGTAAGTAACAAGGTAGATCAGTTCCTAAATCAAGGAGCAGTTACCCTTGGTACACGTCAAAGAAACTGCCTTTGATTCAAATCCATCATGACAATAAAATAATGACAATGATTTAGTTGCACTCACTCCTAGAAGACCAAGTCAGTCAATATTTTCACATGGAAGTCCCTCTGATCATGTCGTAAATAGCACTTCTCAAACTTTCTTATATAATCCAGTCACCCAGACATGGTGTTAAAGTGTAGATTCTGATTCGCTAGACCTGGAATGGGGCCCAGGAGTCTCCATTTCTAACAAGCTCCCCCAGATGCTGCTGCTGGTCCGTAGACAGACTAGCAAGGACATGATATAGACCTCATCCATTACCTAGTTGTTTAACATAAATATACGAGTTATTCTCCCTCAGCTTAAAACTATAATTCAGTATAAATTTTTTTATATCCGTACATGCTCTGTTTTGGTTTTACCTACAGGGTAAAATTAATTTTTTTCTTTTTTATGTCCTTTAATGAAAGTTTTTTTTTTTTTTTTAATTACACAAGTAGTAAATATCTATCAAAAATAAATAAATTCAGGGGCTGGCCCAGTGGCATAACAGTTAAGTTCGCATGCTCTGCTTTGGCAGTCTGGGGTTCACCAGTTCAGATCCCAGGCACAGACCTATGCACCACTTATCAAGCCATGCTGTGGCAGGCGTCCCACATATAAAATAGAGGAAGATGAGCACAGGTGTTAGCTCAGGGCCAGTCTTCCTCAGCAAAAGAGGAGGATTGGTGATGGATGTTGGCTCAAGGCTAATCTTCCTCAATAAATAAATAAATAAATCCAAGCAATATAAATGTATGTGGAATGAAAAATCATAAGTCATCCCTTCATAATCTAACGTTTGTAAAAAAAAATAATATTTATTGAGATAAGGGGCAGGTGTAATACACATTTCTTATAACTGTAATTCATTTATATGGGTATACAATAAATATTAAATAGTAACAGGATTGATGATAGTAGAAATAAGATTGGTAAAATGTTTGTTAAATTTGAAGCTCGATGATGAGTTCTTTTATTATATTTGAAATATTCAAAAGAAAGGGAATCTAGATTTGACCGACCAGTCCTGAGAGGCACAGTGACCATCTCCACAAAGCTCCTGGTGGTGGGGAAGAGATGATATGAGGGCAAGTGTTAAGTCACAAAGAATGGATTTAGACTGAGTTGACCTTTTTGCCTACTACAGATCATTAGATGGACTTATTTTTCATTTATGCAAAGGTCAAGCTACAATTTTGCTGGGACATAGTGTGGTTAGAAGAAAGCAGTAGAAGTTAAGGCTGGATAAATCATAAAGAGCCATTTTGAAAAGCTCTGGATTTCAGTGTGATGAGTTTGTAGCCTAAAGGTTTTTGAGCTGAAGCTTTAGGAAAATTGGACAGCAGTACATTTGGTGATTAAAATAGGGAAGGACTGAGTAAAGGATCACAGCAAAGAGTTGTTTATAACTGTACTTGAAGCCAGTGATCAGGAGGATCTGAACAGGGGATGACAGTGGACTGGAACTCCGATAAAATTGACAGCTGAATGGATCTAGGGAGTCAGCTATCTCCAGGATTCAAATTGGGTTAACTGGGAGAGTGGCAAGTTGATTCACATAGTAGTTGAAGACAGGAGGATGAGAACGTCAAAGAGAGGTTTTAACTATACTGAATCTGTATGTCAAAGAAATGTCCAGGTGATGATATCCAGAAGTAATTGGGAATGTAGGACTAGAGTGAAGAAGAAGGGAGACCAACCAGAGAAAAAGTTGATAGTTGAAACTACTGAAGTGAATGTAATCCAGGGAGAAAGCAAAAAAGGCAGAGAAAACTAATGACAGACAAAACCATGAGAACATTTGCAAACAATGGGCAGATATAGGTGGAGAAAAAGAAAGTGGAGGAGAAATAATCAGAACCAAATTAGTACAGTGTTGTGAAAACCAAGGAAAAGGAAGGTTTTAAAGGAGAAGGAAGGGAATAAAAATATGAGCGAGGAGAATTGATGGAGCAAAGTCCTGAAGGACGGGAGACAGGAGTAGGAGCCAAAGCACCAGTAAAAGGATACTTCTTCCTCTGATACTGGCAGGGAGAAAAGGTGGCTTCTTGCTGGTCTTTTTCGTAAATAAGGCGATGTTATCTACAGAAGAAAAGAAAGTAGAAAGGGTAGACTTCAGGGGGGAATAGGAGAGGTTTAAAGCTGATGTTTTGGAGACAATTGTTTAGAGACTCAGTCAAAAGACTGCTAAAGCAGCACTGAACGCCTTGCTGAAGGTGGTTTTGCTAGCTCGGTGCTAGATCCAGGTGGTAAGCTCAGGAGCAGAAAAGGGAGATAGTAGAGCTAGCAAAACTGGAGATGAAAGACAGGTAGATAGGAGAAAAGCAAACGGCTAGGGTAAAAGAATCAAAAATCTTGATGTGAACATCATTGAAACCTTGAGACTGAGGTTGGGGACAAAAGCAAGTCGTATCGGGACCAGCTGGACCATGAGAGCAAAAGAGGAATGATTGGACCTGGAAATTACCTCAAAACAGATTGTTAGCAGACAAGATTGTAAGAGGTAGAAAACAGGAGACTGTGATCAGAGATTTCCAAGTGAAAAATCTTTGATGTGGAGGTTCCAAGTGAGGAGCATGTCTAAAGCATGGTCTTGCTTGGGCAGCCGAAGTAGGAGAGGATATAGGCTGAGGAAGTCTGAAGTCAGGTTACTAGATGGGGCTGATATTACTTTGGTTTATTTAGGATGGCCCTAAGACCTTTGGAAAGCAAAGACCCCTTCTCACCTTTCTGTAAGTCCTACAGAAAGGGGTAGCTTGGGTAAGTACTGTTTTGGGGAGGGTGGGGAGAGGGCAGGAAACAAATTGAGCCTTTAAGTAATATACCTAGAAGATGTCTAGAAGAATACCCAGAAGCTGCTAGCATGCCTAGGAGACGGAGGTAGAAGGGAGATTTTTCACTGTACATCTTTCTCTACCTTTTTAGTTTTGAACTATGTTAATGTAGCACCTGTTAGAAAATAATAAAGTGAAAACTTTAGATATTACCAATATAGGTGCAGATGGTAACCAACTTGTTCAACTTTAAAGCAATTTATGCCTTCCTAATCCTGAAAAACATCACTTTAATGGGTAGGGCTAATAAAAAGAATCTGTAAAAGAGTCCATTATTCATAGTATAGTATTTTTGCTAAATTTATTTCAAGGATTGGTCTCTTAATTTGAATCATTCACCACATAGTTGTAATCCCTGGTATATTTTGGAATTTCCTTCAGTAAAATCACAGTTTCCCATCCTTCTAAGTCTGGTTTAATCATTAGAATCCTTTTCAATAGGGCTCACTTACTCAATTCAAACAGAAATAATGTCATTTAAACCTGTGAAGGAACGGAAGGCAGTTAGGAGTTAGCAGCTTGGCACCCTGTAGGGATTTTTAGGTCATCATTTGGTTTGTAAAGGTAAACATTTCCAGGACATCAGTGCATTCAGGGTTTGAGAATGCATCCAAAAACTTAGTAATGTATTTTGGAGGTTTCCCTATTACTTTTCCATTAGTTAAATAATCATGAATTAATGCCAGTTATATTTAGCAAATTTAGGTAATATTTTTTACATTAATTTATATATTTTCCCTTGTAAAATCTTAAAACAGGTGTGAAGATAACATCTACCCTGCAAGTGTTGAAGCTGATCAAGCAGGCTGGTGACCGAGTCCTGGTGTATTATGAAAGGCCTGTCGGCCAGAGTAATCAGGGTGCAGTGCTGCAAGATAACTTTGGACAGTTGGAAGAAAACTTTCTGTCAAGCTCATGCCAACCAAATTATGAAGAGGAAATAACTGGGTTGGCAGTAGACGCTGAAAATAGAGACCTGGATTCTGAATTTGAAGACTTGGCAAGTGATGTCAGAGCACAAAGTGAGTTCAAAGATGAGGCACAATCACTAAGTCATAGTCCCAAACGTACTCCGACAACACTTTCTGTTAAACCCCTTGGAACTATATCGCCAGTTTTAAACCGTAAATTAGTTGTAGGAAGTCACCCACCACCACCAAAAATTCCATCCAAAGAAGGAAGTAAACCCTTAGCCCTAAAAACTTGTGAGATAACAGACCCAGCGCACGTGTCAAAACCCACCCAAGGATCCATTTTCAAACCACCCGTGCCACCACGACCACAAGTGAAAGTTCCTTTGCCTTCTGCTGATGCCCCAAATCAGGCAGAACCAGATGTTCTTGTTGAAAAGCCAGAGAAGGTGCTGCCTCTTCCTCCTGCAGATAAGCCTGTTGAAAAGCAAGCAAAAAATACAGATCACGTAGAAGATGCAGCTGCATGTAAGCAGTTTTTAGCAAAGCAAGAAGTGGCGAAAGATTTTCCTTCAGAAAGTTCCTGCCCTCCAAAGGACAGTTCGGATGATCCTCAAATGTGGGAATCATCAGAAATTCCTTATCGTAATAAGCTAGGAAAATGGACAAGAACGAGAGCGACCTGTTTCTTTGACATAGAAGCCAGCCACAGATACTTAAACGTTGCACTGTGGTGCAGGGATCCTTTCAAGTTAGGGGGCCTCATCTGTTTGGGGCATGTTAGCTTAAAACTTGAAGAGGTGGCATTAGGATGCCTAGCTACATCAAACATGGAATACCTTTCAAAATTCAGATTAGAAGCCCCAACACCTAAGGCTATGGTCACAAGAACCGCACTCCGCAATCTGAGTATGCAGAAGGGATTCAATGACAAATTTTGCTTTGGTGACATTACTATTCAATTCAAATATGTGAAAGAAGGAGAACCAGACCACCATATAGTTTCTAACGTAGAGAAAGAAAAAGAACTCCATTTGGTTGAAGAGGTTTCTGCCCTACCTAAAGAGGAGCACTTTGTTGGACAGATGGGTGTAACAGAAAATAAACATAGTTTCCAAGATACTCAGTTCCAGAACCCAACTTGGTGTGATTACTGTAAGAAAAAAGTTTGGACTAAAGCTGCTTCCCAGTGTATGTTCTGTGCTTATGTTTGCCATAAAAAATGTCAGGAAAAGTGTCTAGCCGAGACTCCTCTTTGTGGAGCAACTGATAGGCAGATAGAGCGGACCCTGAAAACCCTCAGAGTGGAAGGACAAGAAACCCTCCAAGGCCTCCCGCCTCGTGTTGACTCCGAAGCTAGCAAGTCAGTTAATAAAACAACAGGTTTGACGAGACATATTATCAATACTAGCTCTCGTTTGTTAAACTTGCGTCAAGTCTCTAAAACTCGCCTATCGGAACCAGGAACTGATCTAGTAGAACCTTCACCAAAACACACCCCGAACACATCAGACAACGAAGGCAGTGACACAGAGGTCTGTGGTCCAAACAGTCCTTCTAAACGGGGAAACAACACAGGAATAAAGTTAGTGAGAAAGGAGGGCGGTCTGGACGACAGTGTTTTCATTGCAGTTAAAGAAATTGGTCGTGATCTCTACAGGGGCTTGCCTACAGAGGAAAGGATCCAGAAACTAGAGTTCATGCTGGATAAACTGCAAAATGAAATTGATCAGGAGTTGGAACACAATAATTCCCTTGTTAGAGAAGAAAAAGAGACAACCGATACAAGGAAAAAATCACTTCTTTCTGCTGCTTTGGCTAAATCAGGTGAAAGACTACAAGCTCTAACACTGCTTATGATCCACTATAGAGCAGGTATTGAAGACATCGAATCTTTAGAAAGTCTGTCTTTAGACCAGCACTCCAAAAAAATAAGCAAGTACACAGAAGATACAGAAGAGGACCTTGATGATAGTGAAATAACCCAGCTAATAGACTCGCAGCCTTTCAGCAGCATATCAGATGACTTATTTGGCCCATCTGAGTCTGTGTAACAGACAGTCTCTTTAAACTTTCCACTGATTGGGGGAAAGCTGCATCTAAAGTACCACAGATAAAACCATGTTTAAACCCTCTTATAATGCACTTGGACTGCTTCTCCACAGTTATTGCTTGTTTAAGAACAAGAATGAAAAAGATGGTTTTCCAGCAGAAACATGACCAGCTCACTAAATTGGTTGTTGCAGATTGCATTTATAGCTGTGCTTTTGGGTTTATACTGGGAATTTATTTTTACTAATTTATTTTTAACTTTTTCTAATTATGTAATTATGTAAGCTAACTTTTCATGTTTATGTATGTGTGATGTCTGATGTTATTTTCCTTCTAGTTTTTGAATTAGTGTTAAATAGGCTACTGTCCAGATTCTTGAAATGTTTTCATTTCCATCATGGTTATAGCAAATTTGTTGCATGCCCAATTGACAACAGCAATCATTGAGGGAACAGGTTTGAATCTTACCTTGCGTTATGAAGTTTGTCATCTCTACTTACTGGAGATTTTTGTTGTTTTGTGGTTTTGGGGAGTGCTTTTGTTTTTGCCAAATGTAACGCGAAAGCAGATGCTGCAGCTTTAGTTGGTTATGCTGATTTAGTAAAAAAAAAAAGTTTTACATATATTGCTTGCTTTCTATGCTTCTGTGAAATTTTTTTTCTGAAGTTTTTATACATTTGAAGTATAGTAAGAATATAGTGGTTAATTTGAAGAGCTTGCATTGAAAAAATGTAATAGGGAATAAACATGGAATGCAGTTGGTCAAGAATTTTGTAGAGAGGGTAAGAAGATTACTAAAAAACAGTAACCGGTAGGATTTTGAAATGTCTTTCAAAATGTTGATGCTTTCTTTTTAAATGAAAGTTCTAAACATTTATGATTATTTTTCATCTTCAGTTCTCCCATAGGAAATAAAGCATGTGCAAGGATATTGAAAGTTTCAGAGGACTGTTCTTAAAATGATTGTGTTGATAACTAGTTTTGGCTGTTTTGTGTTAGAAACATTTTCATGCAGGAGAATGTTGTGAAGGAGAGGAGTTATGCAAAATAGATTCAGTTCTTTGTCTGACATCCTCCAGGCTTAAAAAATGAGGATCATTCTGAATGCTTCTATAATTCAAACTATCTTTATTTAAAAAAATTAATAAAAATAGACAGTACAGATACATAGGAATTGGGGCCAGTTCTCTGAAAATGAAGATCTACTCTGATACTCAGTCCATCATGTGGATCCCAGTAACATATGACTGAGGGAAAATGTGAGCATGACATCTGTTGGTATACCATAAAAGTTTTGGCCTTTCATATGCCTATAAAATAGATATGTATATGTATTTTCCTTTTGTAGTTAACTACTATGATAATTGATATATACTGAAACTGACATGAATTTAAAACTAGTTGGAGCATCTTTTATGGCTGGCAGGAAAGGGCATAGTACAATAGTAAAGATTCTGGCCCAGTCTATAGCTCAGGACTCCGTACAAAAGTTCAAGCTCTTCCATTGGCCATTGATGAACTGTGTAACAATAGGCTAGCCACAAAAGGGCTCTGTGCCACCGTCTCCCCAGCTCTAAGGTAGGATAAACAAGACTTACTCTAACTACCTCACAGGATTGTTGTGAGGAAAACAATAGCATCACTGTGAAAGTGCTCTGAACAGTAAAAAGCTATTCAAATAAAAGGTATGACTTATATGGGTGATAAATACATTTTTGAGGGTAGAAAAGTTATTCCACTTTTAAAATCAATAGCCAATTCTCATTCCTGTTATTTTATTAAGTGAAATATTAGGAAACTAAACACCTTTCTTGGCCAAGTTTATAACAAAAATATATCTGTGTATACCCCCCTTTTTTGTTTTCTATGTAAGCATGTTTGCATTTTAAAAGAACACTGCTATAGAAGTCTTTATACACCTTATTCTCTGAAAGTTAAAATGCTGTTCTGTAACATATGCTTGAAACAATCTACCTAATGTAATAACCAGCTTTCATCTTATCATAAAAAATAACTTACCATTGATAATGTGGAAGGCGGAGTGTCTGTAAGTTGCTGGTGTTTATGGGTTATATCATGGAAGTTTTAGTGACATCCAAGCATGCTGCTGCAACTGACGCATTTGAAAGAGCTGTAGAAATAATGCAAAACTTTGGTTTTATGAAAATCTACTCGTGTTAAAAGTATTTAACTCTGTAGAAGTACAATTATGGAAAGCTCGGTAATGCTGCTATTGATATTTGTAAAATACACCTTTAATGTAGTGCACTATTTTTATATCTACTGGGAGAGGCAGTAGAGGAATCACAGTTGTCCTTTAATGCAGAGGGACACTCCACATAGCCTAGTGGATAGTAAGGTAGAAGGCTTCAGTGAAAACACTTGTACTATACTACATTCCTGATGTAATCTTGCTGCCATGCTATGTTATCTATAGCTAAAAAATAATAAAAACTACCACAGAAAACAAGAATATCTTCATTTGGTGACATCTGAAAACAGTAGTTGCTGCATCTCTATGGAATTATCGCCTGGTGTAATTTGGCCATGCAAACAAGCGTAACAAAGTCCACTTTTGCTAAACAAAATTGCTTATTTTGAAAATTGCCTCAAAACATTAAATACTGGTTTTACTGTTTCTTTAATGAAATACCAATTATGGATTTGCCTCTGCTATTAGTAATTAGACTAAAGTATATTTTCTACATTGGTATTTAGATGAATGGGTTAGACATCAAGATGAGCAACATCTGAGCATTATTTTGGAGTCAGAATTAATAGGCTACATTTCTTAATATCAAGCCTTTTATTCTTCAGTATCAGAATTAGTTGAAATACTATGTGGCCATTTGGTGATTTTGAGAGGAGAAAACTAAAAATTTGAGGGTACTGTCTAGTTCTAAATTTAAGTATATCTGAATTTTTTGAAAGGCATTTGAAAATATTTGACTCTAACAGTAAGATAATAAAATCTTAAGTCCCCTAAAAGTGAATAAATTTACAATCTAATTTTAAAAAATATTGTCTTTATTTCTAAACTGAGATAATAGCTTTTCTTTTATTAAAAAGGGGGCAACAGGAAATTCCCCTAAAACTGTGGACACTTACCCCTGAAAGATACAAATATGCACACCATAGAGTTTATGGAACTTCTAGGGGTCCATGGGCCACAGTGTCAAATGGCTGGTATTATAGTTATTTGTTCCTAGCAATCAGGAAAACAATATAACTTTAGAACTGCAAGGATCACTTACTGGTTTTTCCACATTGACATCATGTGGCTAGTTACATATTTCAATTTAAAACATTTTCCAAAGTCAAAAAGTCTGGTTCAAACTAACCTGGAGTGGATTTTACCTGATGCCTGCAAGCAGAAAAGAATAGTTTTTAATTGAAGATCCACAGTCAAAACAGTACCTTATGTATTTTATTCTAACAGTAATGTCTTGTTTATAAAGGAATACAGCAGGCACAGTAATGTTCAGAAGATTTATTAAGTAAAACTAAAAACATGATGTAGCTAGATACAGTTAGCAGTCAAAAGAAAATTGAACATTCATTGCTACCTCATTAAGGTTTTTATATCTGTTTTGTCAGGTACAAACATAAAAACCACCTCTGCTCAAAAGATAAATGTTCAGAAAGCTGTATATTCTTTGTCCTGATACACACATTTTAAAAAAAAAAGCCTCTCTTTTCACAGTCTTGCTAACTCCAGAATATAGTCATACAAAAGACCTTACAATTTCTTTTTTTATCCCCTCATATAACAGATACCTTTTGCTTCCAAAACAGTTCTGAAAAACTCATCTCTTTTCTGTTATCTCTAGGGATCAACAGTGGGCATGCCTTTGCCAGTCATTCTTGAAGAGGCTGAAGTCTTAAAGGCAAAAATAAAATAGGAGTAAGTTATACGGTATTGGGAGCGGGGAGAACCACAAACCCTCGAAGGAAACTGTCATGTAGCATGTTCTTTTTGAGGACTCTCCCCTACGGAAGTAGAGAATAATCTGCCTTTTTACATTAGCCATATAAGAGTGCCTCCAAAGCCATCTTCCAAAGCAGTGGACTTGTGCAGGTTGCCCAGTGCAAATACGTCACGAGGGAGCATGTTTGCTTCCAACACACTGCACTTGAAAACCAGACTTCAAATCATTCCAAAAAGCCCCACAGAAAAGCTTCATAAAGCAAATGTAATTAAAGTATTAGCTACTTTACTAGAGAATTATACGGTTGAGGAGTCCTTGTTCTCAAGTTCTTTGCTCCTTCTCCAAGTTAACAGAAACGTAATTGTAGCTTAACAGAGAACATTAGGTAATTTTTGTTTACAATTACAGAACTACAGAATTAAGTATTTGAGACATTCCACAGTCTTCACACTCCAATCACATCTCATGCAAAACTTGATGTCAACTGACAGTGTTCACTAACAGTATTGGCTGTTACATCGAAAAAGCACATCAATGTTGTCATGCTTAGGAACACTACATTACAGCACTAGATGGTACAGTAATACATAGACATTTTTAGATGTTTGTTTTTTTCTGCCTGTGAAAGGGGTGTGTCCTGGCCACCTTATTATTTTTACCTGTTTTCCTAATGTGATTCAAGATATAATTTCACTCCTTCATGTTCAAAGTTTGTGTTCACCTTGATGTGAACAACTTTCAGCAGTCTAGAAAATAATAGTTTCAGACAACTCCAAATTAATAGACCCCTAGAAAACACTGGGTGACCTCCAAACAGGTCGAAGATTATGGTCTGGGTTTTCCATGTCATAGCAGCTATTAGCCTTTTAAAGTTCTTTTCTAAAATTTGAACTAGATGTTGATACAGCTTACCACGCTTAAACAACCTTGACAGTATAAGGTACATCTACCCTCAATTTGCTTCCATCTGGTAAGACAAGTATATGTCTTAAAGGGAAAGCTTCTAGTTGCCCATAACTATGGGTGCTTTTCACTGCTTTGAGAACACCCACTGTTTTTCCCTTATTGGCTTTAATGTTTGCTGCCGAGCACATGACATGTGAACATATCATTTACAACCATCTGTTTCCAGGTAGGTGATTACATAGAAAACTAATGCCAGCTAAGATTCATAGATAAATCCAAAAGATGACTGACTCCAAGTTCTTGTCTCTGCATTTGAGATAACTAGCTTTTAACTCATAAATACATTGATAGTAATTACAAGTTTAACTCAGCACTCAGTGTCACTACATAATATATGCTGTCTTAATTCTGTTTTTTCAGAGGTCCTAGTTTCTCATTGTTGGAAGTGTCTCGGAGATAATGTGTGCTTTAGTTTTAAACACTCATTACCAATACTCAGAAAAAATACAAGACTTTTTGCCCAGGTGTCTGTGAATGTAAGTTAAAAAATTATATTTGATTTGAATTCAAATATTTATAGATTTACACTATATTTCGTCAAAATATATTGTATAATATTTAAAATCAAATACATAAAATAAAGTTTTCAACACTATTTATACAAACCCCTAGAAAAGCTGCTTTTTCTTTATAAGGCTGTTGGCAATCGATCATAACCATGGAAAAGAAAGAATAACCTGTCACCAGGGATGAATGGTATGCCTAAGACAGTTCTGGATGAGTCATTTCACTGGAAACACTGTTTTATACAATTAAATACATTGATGACTTTTGAAGGTCTCAGTCACTTTCAGATTCTTCATCATCACCTATCGGATACGACTGGATATTATTCTGAGTGTACATTTTTGTTTTAATGGGGCAGTTGTGATCCATGAGAATAGCCTAAAAGAGAGCAAAGTGCAGATAGATTAACTTATTATTTCATAAAGATAGATGGTTTTAACCTACTGTTTTTAAAGATTACTAGTTTGAAAGCTATATATAGTACCACCCACTATTAGCCAGTCATTTGGTGCCATTGCCGGGTGTCTGGCCTAGAAGACCTGGACTTCTACACTTAGTGAAAGTTCCAGACAATAGGAGATGCTGTCTCTGCACTATTTTTGTTAGACCTACTGGAGCCATAAGTCGACTCAAACCTGTAAGCTAGGAAGAAAGGGGTACGCAGATTAGGGTTTTTATACTCAGAATCTTGGAATTAGGGTCTGGGGATCTTGGAGGCCACCCAATCCTGCTTCTGTTCACCAACTTCGTTGTGGCAATACCCTCAACCAGGAGGTACTCTCTCCTTAATGAGGCAAGCTCTCATCTTAAAGATGTACCCGAGGCTGGACTAACACCTGTCTCCATTGTTTCCATTCACAGATCCAGTTCTGAGACCAGCCATCTTCACAGACCGCCCTTAGAATATTTTAAGACCATTGCCATGGCCCCTTAGATTTCCCTAGACTAAACATCACAGGGTCTTCTCTTTTCATAATGACATTTCTAGAGCACCTCTCCCCAAATCCTGGCTGGCCTGATCTTGCTCAAATGTATGATTTTTTAAAAAAATATATTCCTCTTATGAACATCAAAATCTCATGCCTGCCCTCATTGTTATTGAAAATTAAGCAAAAATAGCCACTTGGTCCTCAATTGATAAACATCTTCAACCGATAAGCACTTGTAGTCATCATTCCTCCTGAAAGTGTACAGACCAAGCACATAGTCTGATAACACAGCGAATGTTTATCTTGCCAGAACCGTGTTAAGCATTTTCGATGCAATGCCTCAACTTCACAATAACCCTCTGGTAGGTTGATAACCCTCTGTGTAAGCACAGAGGTTACAGAACTGACCAAGGGATGTACAGCTAGAATGGGGCAGATGGGAGCCCAGGCAGCCTTACGCTAAAGTCTACTCGTGCAACGCTCCACGGTAGAGTCAGGAGTACAGAGGATGGCAGTGGGACACTAGGTGCCACTAAAATGAATTATTAGGTATGTCTTTCAGAGTTTTCCTCCATGTAAAACTATTCCCCTAGTACCTTTTTGTGCAGTTTGAAAATCTAAATGGAAACATTTATCTATATTAAAATTTACCTTACATTGGCCTATTGCACCCTATCTTGGTGTTTGTTAGCTACTCCTCCCAGCTCTTGTCCCCAGATTTGATAAGCTTCTATGAGTCCACTCAGTGCCTAACCCATTTATCATTTCCCAAGAAATTCCAAAATGATCTGCCTGTGTGACATGTTAAGATAAGGACTTCCTTGAGCCTCTAAGTTAGGCTGCCAGCTCAAATCGTCAGCTGCAAATTTAACTCCATTTGTTTTTATTATGCTTCTTACTATGAACTGATCCATGTGTGTAATAAAGAGTTCAATTTCTAAAAATAAGTAATTAAGGCACTAGACATTGTACACCAAGACCATCTTCCCCACGTGGATGTGTCCTTGTTACACAAAAAGCTTAACCCCAAAGAGCTCAATGTCTCATCTCCCTAGACTAGTGATCCTCAAAGAAATGTGCCCAAGAATCACTTGAGGGAAGAAGGTTAAAAATGAAATTCCAGGTCCCTACCCTCACATGACAGTGGTGTCAACATGCTGTGAGAAACACTGCCCTCGTTATGTGGCATTATCTAGGACTATCACAGAGTGATAGAGCTGACAACAGCTTACTCCTAGGTATGTACATCAGTGCCCTCAAGGTCCTATACCAGCAACTCAGTGACCTCACTGCACGAGGAATGAAGGTTCCACAGGGTTCAATGTGGCGTGCTCACTGTGGGGTAGGTGCTCAGGGAAAGCGATAGGGAAGAGAGAGGAGCTGAGGTGAACCTTGAATGACGGAAAGGATTTGCACAACAAGGGAACTGGGAATGAGTGTAGAATGGATTATTTACCAAATAGGACATTAAGGAAAACAGGGACACTAAGTAAGCCAGCCTGGCCACCACAGAGATCTGATCATGAGGCACAGGGACAGAGTGCAGAGCCTTGAATGCCAGGCAAGGGGCCTTGACCCTCAGGCCACAGGCAGTGAGGCAGCCTTGGAAAGGATGGCCATCATTCTACCTTCTTCCTAACTGCCTTCTGTCTCTTGGTTCATCTGCCATTAGACCTGACTGTACATATATGTAGACTTAAGGACCCCCCGGAGCTGAGCACTGGGCACATCGTATGGATTTGACTTAAAAACTGCAGGGTAAGGGAAGAAGTTAGTCAGACTGATTATTTGTCATCATACAGACTTAAATGGTCAGAATTTATCGGTTCAGCCAAACCACATTTGTTGACACGACCTATCTGCTTCAGGTAAAGAAGTTTTCTTCCTTGAAATACTGGTTTCTAGCTTTTAAAACCTAGGTTACTGGCTACTGAACCTCTTTTGAAAGACTTAATATGCAATAGTTATACTTTGACAAGAAGTTATACATGAATAAGGGGTCAGCCCTGTGGCCAACTGGTTGAAGTTCCACACACTCCACTTCAGTGGCCTGGGTTCATGGGTTCGGATCCCAGCACGGACCTACTCCACTCGTCAGCCGTGCTGTGGAGGCATCCCACGTAAAAAGCACAGGAAGATCGGCACAGATGTTAGCTCAGGGCTAACCTTCGTCAAGCCAAAAAAAGAGGAAGATTGGCAACGGATGTTAGCTCAGGGCGAAACTTCCTCCCCGAAAAAAGAAAAAAAAAAGTTATATGTGAATAAATAAGCCGGATGGCATGTAACATTCTAAAAGTGCCATGAAAAGAGAGACATGAACAGCATCAAGTAGGTAAGTTGTGTGCGTGAGGGACGTATATGGCGTGGCCCGTGGAGCAGCCAGGTAATTGAAAACAGCACTCTGCACTGCGGTGGGGAGAAAGGTGCATTTGACTCTCGACTGAAGAGAAAATAAAAAGGAGGTGGTGGTGGTTTGAAATCAGAGCGAAGCCCATTTACTGAGCGTTGAAGCCCAGCCTGGTTTCCTCTCACACGCAGAGTCAGGATCTTCAAAGCGGGAAAAACATGGTGGACCAAATGAAGTGCAAAAGTAACGCAAATACGAAGCTGGAACAGGGAACCAGCAAAACCATTAACAGGCAAGCAATCCAGGCTCCGAGACTTGGGTAGATACCAGGCCTGCACGCTAGAAAAGTTTTATTTAACATAAGAAAAAATTAGTGATGATTTTGCATAACTACTATGTAAATGCCCTGCAAATGGACGCATTTCCATAAATAGATTATATACGCAGAGCACATTCAGTCCCCTTAGCTTCTAGCCAGGCAGTCCTTGCCCAACCCACAGCATCAACGTCCGGCACCCAGAAAACAGAGCAGCGGGAAGAACTACATGGAATGACTCAGAGAGCCCAGAGCCACCCAAGAAACGAAAGCTGCAGCCCCAAACCGCCTGGTTTCCTGTCTGGGCAACGATTAGAAGCTTCAAGAGTAAGATGTAAGAAAGGTGCCCTATCTTTAAAAATAATTTTTCAGCCTGGGAAAAAAGATCCATACCAGAGCACAACTATTCACAACTGGATATTTTGAGAGTTACGCGCTGTGTGTAATTGTCATATGACTGGAACAGTTTTCCTCAAATGACAGTGTTGATATTTCTTACACTTCCAGAGGAACTTGAGTAACAAACAGGGTTTTTTCTCCACCTGTATTGATAATTCAACACATTATAAAAAAACAAATCCAATATACCAAATGGAAGAAAAACTCAAGTGCACACCAACTAGTTCGTGGTTCTCTGCCTTGGGATCCATGGAAACAGCGTTAGACCTTTCAATACAGAATAGCTTAGGTCCAAACACCTCATCATCAGCATGTTGCCTAATGAAAGAATTATTTGCTAAGGTCTGTATGTCTTATTCTGGCTCTCACGTCCCCCTGCATTTGGGAACTGCTGATCCTGAACGTCAGCATTTGTTTGCATTGGATTTTCTCAAGTGGCCAGTCATCGATCCTTCCTCTTCCGGCGCCCGCTGCTGCCCTGCCCTCACTCCCCCTTATCATTAGGTGCTATCGGATTCCACCCCGTTCCTTCCTGCTCTGCTTGCACAATGAGTCGGCAGCAGCTGTTGGCCGCCACCCTCAAATGTTACCATTATGCCAGTCAAATGGCATCCAATCTGACGCCTTCAATTATGTGCATCAATTATGGCAGCGAGATGCACATTTTCTCAAGATTTTAATGACTCATCTTGCAAGGCACTTATTAAGGATTTTGACATTTTACAGTGAAAGTGGCTTTCTGGAAGCCTGTAATTCTTGTTGCTTTTTAGGACTGTCTCTTCCACTTCCTTAGGCATTTTTCTTTTTAAAGGAACTAAAGCATGGTTTAAATGTGAAAAGAGAAGACGTACTGAGGCCTGCCTCCTGCCAGTCATTTTGTGGATCGAATGGTAGCTGGCTGGGCAAGCTTACCCCTGCTCATCCTCTGACCTCATCCATTTCCTCCAAGATAAGCCCTCATGCTGCTGCGGACAAAGGGATAAGACGACAGCTGCTAACGTCTACACCTCGGCTGGGGAAGCCCGTACAGCAGCTCAGGGGCCAGAATAGCAGAAGGAAGCTCTCCCCGCACAGAGAGAAGAAAGGGAGGAGACTCAGGGACCACTGGGCTGACAAAGTCAGTCAGAGAGTTAGTAAAGCAAGAAAGAAAAGCGGGCAGTATTGGAAAGACACTGAGCGTTTACTGTGTGCCAGACACGAGGCTAAGCACGCTATTGGGATTCTTTCATTTAATCCTCACAGCAACCCTGCGAGGCAGATGCTATCATTTCCCCCTGCGACAGTTCTGTTCCAGCCCCTGTGCTAGCCCTTCACTCTCTCCCAAGAGTCTTAAACAGTCTCCTGAGTGACAGAGCATTTGTAAGTGATTTTTTTTTCCATCAAGAAGGGTTGGAAGTAACCTTCACTCAGTCTTAATCAAATTGATGTGGTGGCTACAGAATGACAGTTTTCAATTGTTGCACTGAGAATTTTCTGACCCTGGTTTGGGCAAGGCACTGTGCTGGGTCCGCCAAACAAAGATGGATAGGGACCCTACCCAACAGGCTGCAAAACGGATTCCCCAAGAGCTGTGTGAGAAAGCGCCACGGCGTTCAGAGCTGGAGAGGCACCTAAGCTGGAGGAAGGAAGAGGGGATGGCTGCCGTCAGAATATTTCCACAGCACCTCCCACTCCTCTGAGTCAAATGGGTCCTGAGTAATTCAGCATTCTCTAGTGAAATCCTACCTAATAAAGGGCACAAGACCAGTGCTCAGTGCTAGATATATTTTTTAAATATATCGAACAAATTAATGAATGCAAAAAACGCCCCAAATAAATAAAGCCTGCACATAACCTAACCTTAGGGTCCGTGTCTGTCCTGAAACCCACTCTTTGGGGAAAATCATAAAAGGGCAGTTCAAGAAATGCCAAAGCATTAAGACCTATTTCAGTTCAATGATCAGAAAGAACTTCTGATGTACTCCCAAGAGAAATCACAAACGAACCTCACATCCATTCATAAACACAAAAAGACGGTCTCCCCTTGCCTTGTTTATCTCATTCATTCTAATCCCAGCCATTCTTCTTTCAGCTGGATGAGTATCTATCACCATTTGATGTTTAAAAAATCAGCAATATCACCACCACCAGGTATGGACAATTATCAGAAAGGTTAAAATAACTGTTACATCTCAAAATTCACATTTAGAATCAATAAGTTGGAACTTGTTCAAGAGAGGAACACTTTATACTCAATACCATATCCTGCCTATAGCTATGATTCTGGTCAGGAAATTATAAATTTAAAGGTTCTACATGCTCACACCTGGCCAAAGGTGCATATATGATAGTTTTCCATACAGGTCTGTTACCTGCACTAAAACCACCTCTAGAATCTTCTACAGTAAAGACTAAGACACTACTACTAAAAGCTGTGAGGATTAGGAGAAATGCAAACAGCACCAAAAATGGCTAATCTTAGAAGAAAGCACAGGAGGCAAAAAATTATGTCCAAGATTTTCAAGAACCATAGAAAATCAAATTGAACTATCCCATGTTTATATTTGGTTGACAAAAGATCTATACCGACTGCTAACCTATGTACAAAAATAACTTCATTCTTCACATTTATAAAATCATGTTTGGTATAGTAAAAGAAGTAGCTGTCCTATGTGGTATAAACGAAAAAGGAACTTTCACCATTTATCTTTGGAGAGTTCTGGCCAAAAGGAGCAGAAATATATTTTAGAACTAAACCATGAGGAAACCATCCAGAAGACCATGCTAAAATGATCATGAAACACTTTATTGTATCCTAAAAGTTTCTTACCATTTTTTCTTCCCTGGCAGGTGGACTTCGAAGAAAAAAGCAGAGAGGAGCAAAAAGGATATCAATTATTCCAATAATTGTCATGAGCCATGGAAATCCAATTGCCTTTGCGATAGCCCCACCAGCGGAAGGACCTTTAAGAAAACAGAGAATGAGAGAAAGTTCTCTCCAGATGCCTTGTAGACAGAAAGATGCAAAGGTTTAAATAATTTTTTGTAGGCATTATCTATCATGCATTGAGATAAAAGGTCATTCTGAAGAGCCAGTGTCCTTACCTATAGCGTAGCCCATACAAAATGCCACATCTGCAATGGCATACACACTCCCATAGACAGACACGTGCCTCAGGTCTACCAGGTAGCCCATGATGGGCATCATTGAGGAATCCACCATCCCTGTGGGCAGAGAACACAGTCCATAGAAAACCAGTGTGAACCGAAAACGGGCTGAATGTCAGGGACTGCGTCTTAAACTAACACCCTGCAGGCTCTTCCCCGTTTGTCATCGCCACCTGCAAGTCTTGAGGCGGACTCCCTGCAGCGAAGCCTTCAGTAAGGACAGATGGCAGAAGGCGGCTGGGACTGGACCCAGGCCCCCGGTTGCCTGCTCTCTGCCTCGCCGCACTCTTCCTCCACTGTCTGAATGGTGGAGGGCCCTGGTCCTCTGGTGACTCACCCGCCATTCCAGATGCAGAGGGCTGCTGGTTACTGGCTCTGTGGGCCCCCAGCCTGCTTCCTGCTGGTGCTTTCCTGATTCACCGTTTTCTGCTCCACTCTCCCTTGCCCTGAAAGCGTGGGCACACCTGACATGGCTCCCCCATCTCCTCCCCATCCACATCTTGGCTTCATACTTAGACTACACGAATTAAAGTTGGAAAGTACTAGGGAGGATCAGAAGGTACCAGAACATGAAGGAGTCTGAGGGATCATCCGGCCCTACTCAGGAAACTAAAATCAAAAGAGGTTGCTCATTTTGTTGGCTAAAAAAAACAAAACAAAACACTACCGCCACAATCAGTATTAGAATCTCTGGTCTCTTGAATTGTCGGGGAAGGTAGCATAAAGAAAGGGCACGTGGTTTCAGAGTTCTGGGTTCAAATCCCGGGCTGGGTGAGCAGGTCATGTCTTATCTCTCTGAACATCAATTTCCCCATCTATAAAACGAGATGATGATGACTGGCTAAAATGAGACAGGGTCTTTGAACACACCCCGCGGAGCACTCAAATGTTAGCTCCCTCACCTCCATGAGTACCAGAAGCAGGAATATGAGGGAAATTGTTTCATTCAACTAGTATTTGCCAATCACCTAATATGTACAAGGCGCTGGGGCCACAGGGGTGAACAAAATGAATATAAGAGTTGGGCGTTAGGAGATGAGTTGAAAAATGGATTACCATTGTGGCTGATGCTACGAAGGTGCTGTGAGAGGACATGTTTTTACCACGGGGACCTAACCTGGTCTAGGGGCTCAGCAAAGGCTCGGTCCTTTGTTTCCACTGTGCCACTCAGAGAATAAACTCCTGACTTTATCCTGTGATAGACTTAGCATTTACTTTTATCGTGATCAATCTGTATATTACAAATGAGAAACAAACATACTATTTATCCAAAATATTAACCGGATTCTTCCTAACATGTGAGTTATTGTTCCTCACATTGCAAAGACTCGCCTCCTGTGCCCGTGACAATTTCTGCAGCACAGGTGGTCATCAGCACATCAGTCCACCTTTTCTGTGCCAAACCTTATAAAAAACACACTCTGTCCCCCAGCATCATATGAGGTCTGTTCACAGATCTGAACCCAAACAAACGTGCTCTGAGGGACGGAGTCTCTTGTTTGCCCAAGCTCAGCAGCAGAGTATCAGCTGGTTTGTGTAAATATCAGGCTTTTAAAAACACTGCTTTTCCGGAAATAAATGACTAGTATGTGGAAGCAGGTATCTTTCTGTGGATGATCTACAGGTTGTACCTGAGCTCGGCTGACCACAGCCTCCTCTCAAGTTTCTAGAAATTTAGGTTAAGCAACGATAGTCTGCTGGAGTAAGACGGAATCTTTCCTAGGAATAGGGTAGACAAAGTTTTACGTTTAGGCACAAGGCTTGTGTGACTTACCAATTGCAAAACCAACTCCAAAGTTAGGAGCTATGAGTCCATAAATGTTTTTCGCAAAAGGAATCTGTAAGAGGAAATAAACATTATGCTAAAATAACATGATATTCAATTCTAAATTGTCTTGGAAAGTCTTAAAAATGTTTTCTTTGGCCTGGTATGTGTTCCCTTCTGAAGGAAAGAGAAGGCAGGAGGAGGGTGGGGCTTGGGGAGAACGGGACCCTCCAAACCTTTCAAAGTTGAAGCTGAGACAGATTTTGTGACAACCATGAAAAATTAGTCAATTGCATGTGAAAGCCCAGCCTGATCCACACTCCACTTTTGACAAGGACCAGAGGACTCATTTGAGATAGATATCGGTCATTGGTAGAAGATGTTTTATTGTAGAAAAATATCTTGCTGTTGTTTCAGACTAGATGCCCTAAAGCATTTAATACATTGTAATGTTTAAGATAATAGTGGGGGGAAAAGTGAAATATAAACTATGTAATAAAACATTCAAACAACTTCCAACTGACATAAAATGAAAATCTATCCCTTGGAGAGTCTTGTCTAAAATTTTTAAGAAGATAAAAAAAATTGGAAGAAAATGAAAGATGTAACGGAACTAAACATCAACAAACTTCAAATTGCTATAAAATACTTCTCAGTGATTCTTGCCCAAAGCAAAAATTTTATTTACAGACTGTTTCCACTTGTCAAATGTCATCTTTTACTCACACATAAAATGCTGATTCCAACAATTATCATTCCTAGAAGAGCACAAAGCCACCTATCAAAACACAAAAAAGCACTGTCAACAAATGACGGTTCGATCTTTTTTCCCAGTCCACATTTTCAATGGAAATCAAAATAAGTACTTGCAATAGCTAAGGCAGAAACACTTAGAATTTTTTTAAAAGAACTCTATTATTATAACAGAGTGCTGTTTCCATTTCATCTTACCTCCCCATTTTGTGAGCAAGTATCCCAAAAATATTGGTTCCAATGAGATAAGAGATACTAGCTGGCAAGAAAGCAATGCCTGTAAATTAATGAAAAGGACACCTTATCAGTACTGATCTCAGTCAAATATTAGAAAAACTAATAATTGTCAACACCACCATGGTGATTAGAGCAGATGAAATGAAGCCCTGGGGCCTCCACCCACGCAGCTAATATCCGGCGGCTGACGATCCAGTCTGGACCCCATGCAGCTTATCCGTCCGCACAAAGCTGCCGAGACACTCCAGAAAGGAAATTCGTTCCTCTATCAACTGCTTCATCTCGCCTCCATCTCTGCCTGGTGGGGAGCTGGACCCGTGGACCGAGACCAGCAGACCCCGCTGTCGGAGGAGGCAACCACAACCCCACAGGTGCCGTGAGCAGGGGCGGCACCTGCCCCGTCCTCTTCCCCTCCATTATTTAGTATGACAGGAGTGAGACACGGGCATTGAAGAAATTAGGGAACATTAAAATAAGCACAAAGAATAAAGTTAAAATTATCCCAAACCCCATCAGTCAGATAATCACCACCATTGTTTTCCCTTTTAGGTTTATGTGTACAAAAATAAATGTGTGCACACGATTTTTTGTCTTTCAAAAAAAAAAAAACGGAATTATACCTACTGTTCTACATCCAGCTTTTTTCAATGAGCTTTATGAACATCTTTCCAGGTCAAAAAATAAATATCTACGGGGTCATTTTTTGTGGCCAAGTCACACGTGGTTAACATTTTCATGTCCAAGGTTTACAGCTCTCCCAGGAGAGGGACCTCGCAACCCCCAGGTCGAGCCTGAGCTGATTTCCAGCTGCTGGTGACGATGCTCGCATTGAATGTCCCCTCTGCACTGGAGAGGAAGGCATACTCGAGCCAGCCTAGGCTTGGCTGCCAGGGCTCTCTGGTCCTCACCATTATTAGGAAAATAGGACAAAAGACAGATTTTCAAACTTTTAACACTTTTAGTGTTTTTTCTTGAAATCAGATATATCAGATTTGATCCTAAGCCTTGCCCGCAAATGGTAAAAGCTGCTTTGTTCTCAGTCATATGACTGCATAAATTAGACACGCATGGCAGATACGAGATGGTCAGCAGGTACCACCGCACTCCAAATGCACAGGGCCCTTTCTTGTCCAGGCAGCTCGTCACACACAAACGGACAAGTGTGGTCTTGCCTCTTCAAGGACACACTAGCCTTTCACTGTACGCTGTAGGCACTAATACAAACCATCAAGTCTCCAGAAAGGTTAAGCCTTCCAGCACAGTAGGGACTTCAAAATGATCGCTTCCAGGAGTTACATCCAAAACCAAACCATTCCAGACTTAGTGATTCCAGGAAATAAATATAAAGGGCAATCTCATTTCATCTTCCAGGAAACCATTTCTGTCACACTTTGCAATATACGGCGGCCAAATAATTGTTGGGGGTGATCGATTCAGCAGACATGACCTACGGCACGTACCCAGCTCAGTGCTGGGCTGCAGCAAAGACAATGACCACAATGGGGCTCTGGTCACCAACGAGAGCATCTTCAAGGGAAGTACACAGATCACGTCTGAACTGTGACATGGCCACCTTAGAGATACAAAAAGGGACACATGCAGTGCTCTGAGAACCCAGAGTCTGCAGCTGGCGAAGCTCCCAGAGCAGCTGGTATTTAAGCCTGACCATGAAAGGTGTGTATAGAGAAGTGAGTGAGTCTGGAGACATAAGAAGTCACGGGGGCCTCTGTCTCAGGATAAGCATCTACGGGGGCCAGTGAAACAAGCAGAGAATAAGTAACTGGTACCATGATAAAGAACCACTGGCTGGGTCTCAGCATCAGAGAAACAAAAGGAAAACGGAGGGGGAGAGCCCAGACCCCAGCTAGGAAGGCAGCTGCTTTCTCCCCAGACAATCACTGCCCTGGAGGATGACTGCTGTCCCAGATCAGAAGATCTGGTTTTTCTAGAAAAGCTGCAACTCTGAATTCTTACGTGAAATCTCCTGATTCTTAAGTTTTGGCAATTAATTTTTTTAAAACATAATCCCTGTGCAGGCTGATGCTGGCCCAGCCAACCAAAACCTACCTATGAGCTGAACTCAGCCCACAGACACCCATCGTAAACCGGGGCCGAGGAAGTGGCTAGCAGAGAGCCTGGCCAGAACTCCTTCCTGGTGAATCCTGACCCCAGGAGCAAAGCCTGGGATGACGCAGCTCTGAAGTCGAAGCTCCAGAGGAAGCCACAGGTCAGCGACATCTTCCCGACCTATGAGTGGGCTGCTCAGCTCACACGTGTGACCCGGGAGCAGAGGGCACCCTGTTTTCCATGGTCAGTAAACACTCTCCGGCAGCAAACCCCAATTTCATGATTCTCGCACAAAAGCACTGGATTCGGAGGCATGAAACAAAGTGTTCATTTCAGCTCGGAACTTACTAGCTGGGCCTTCAGTGGGTCACTTCAACCTGTTAGAGCCCGAGAAACAGCGCCAGGTCCTACTGCACACACCTCACAGGGTGGCTTTAGGAGCAAATGGCAAACTGCTCAGGAAGGCCCTTGTTGAAGTGCCCTCCCAGTCTGATTCCTCCGCCCTGTCACCCCATGGAGGCCCCACCTCACTGGCTTCTCACCCTGGCCTTCCCTAAACTGCAGGCAGCTCCTACTGGGCAGGGACCCCCTCCATCTGTCTCCCCCCGGCCCAGCTCTATGGTGGCACACAGGAGGTGCCCAGAACACGCTGACCACTCAGAGGAAAGATTCTGTGTGAGGACATTCACTTCAAAGGACCCAAAGTGTTGAGGGAGGTCCCCGTCCCTTGTCCGGCAGCCTGCCCATAGGGGTAACGGACGGTGGCGTGGTCTGGAGCCCCGAGTCCTCTTGTCTTCACTTCCAAGCTGGGGACAGGGCCACTTGCTCCTTGGACCTCGGGCTCCAGGTTCCAGATTCCTGTTCTGACACTGCTTTAGCATCCTCTGCCTTCCAGGGCCTCCACCACATCACACAAACTCAGACTCAGCCTCTGGGAACTCAGGGAAACCTCAGTGCCTCACGCTGCCAGCAGCCCATCTGGTGGCCTGAGAGGGGGCCATCAAACTTTGCTTAGAGCCCACTGCCCTTCCAGATGGCCCTTTCAGAGACGACTGCCACCAAAAGGTAGGTCTCCTAACACCAAGTCCTTCCCCTGTCACTTCCACCCAGAGGCGTTCTGGAGCCAAGACAAGATGGCTCCAACCTCCTCCCTAAGCCCAGCCACCAGCCCAAGAGCAAGACACTCCCATCCACAGCTTGGCTTCCCAGGTGAAACCATGAGGGCTCTGGGTGTCCTCCAGGGACAGTGTGCCCACCACCGCCCCTCTGTACAAGTTCAAGGTGTTTCTCTACCTTCAAACATGATGCGCAGAACTGACCAGCCCAGCTGCATGCTGGGTGTGCAGCACATGATCACTAGCGTCTGAGGAAGGAAAGAAGGACCAAATGAATCCAAGGGTCTCTCCACGGTCTGGCTCTCGGCCACTCCCCTGCTCCTGGCAGCCCGCACCGGTGCCAGCATCTCTGGAGCCCCAGCTCACTGGCCCTCACTGGGCTCTTCCTCACAGACCTGCTCTGCCACCAGCTTGCCCCACCTGGCCTTCAGAGGGGTGTCTTCACCCCTAAGGCAGGACTTCCATCCTCCCCAGAGGAATTTCACCATGTCCTTTTCAGGCCTTTGTTTCTGCCCCTGGAAATCTTTTTGAATCTGTGACTAATTGGCCATCTGTATCGCTCCCAAATTTGTATCACTGCAAACGCAACAAGAAGTCTTTCCAGGCCTTTTCCCAACTCAGTGAGAACAGCATTGACCGGGCTGGCCTACAAACAGCGCCCGGGGCCACACACGCAAGCCCATCCTTCTGCGGGCTCCTGCTCTCCTCAGAGGTCTGCCTGTGCCTCCTCGCTGATCTCTGCTCACCCAAGAAAGTTCACCAACAGGGAGAGTCCACCTGCCCACTGCTAGTGCTTTTATAGGAAGCCCGGCTTCCCCGACAGGCTTGACCGGCACATGAGGGAGAGGCCTGGACCATCACGAAGCCCCCAGAGAGCTGATGCTGGACACGCAACCATAGAAGTGACTGTAGGGTGAGTCCCTTGGCTGCTTCTGAGCTCTAGAGGACCCCTTCCTGACAGCCCCAAGGGCTCGGCTGGGAACCACAATGGGGTAATGGTCCCAGTTCGCCCTATGCTAAGGGAGGCTCAGGAGGCAAAGTCCTCACATCCTGGAACCACAGAATGTTGGCAATCATCTTGTCTTTTGGTACCCAGCCAGGCTGGCACACGACATGCCCCCAGGTCACAGCTGGCTGGGAGCAGAATGGGTCCCCTGCCAAGCAGGCCCATGTTCTTTCCCCCAGCTCACATCTCACTACAGACAAATGGGCTGGAAGAACCAGAAGAATGAGTTTGGCTCCAGCCTTGCTGGGACCTGTTCCCCACAGCCTAAGCTTCCCTTTTGGGGTCTGAAGGCCTCACCATGGACTCTGAGTCTCTAAGCCTGAAGGGGCCAGGGAGAGTCCTTTGACCCAGGACTTGAGGTAAAGAGAGATACCATGAGATGATTCTCTCTCCAGCAACCCAAACCCAGGGCTACCCCCCAAGTGGCAGCATGAGGAGTCTGGGGACAGGCTCACAGCGAGCCCTCTGGAATATGGATGGGCTGCCAACTTTATCTCCCCTGAAAACGATGGGCAAAAACACCACGTTCACATGATGTGTCAACCACGCAGCTAGGCAGACTGTTTTGCTTTGACTTCAAATCTTATGGTCTTTCTCCAGAAACGATCAGGGAAGCATAAGGGCAGAACAGCTTCCCTTTCCACACTGGACTGGAGAGAGCTCACAAAGACCCTGAACGGGGAGGGGCTGTGCCCGCCTCCTGGCGCTGGGTCCTCACACCGTGTCACCCACAGGGCCCTTCTCGCCAAGGCTGAGGGGCCTGAGGGGCTCTGGGAGAGCTGGGCCACAAGCTGCAGACCACGTCAGGCGGGTTTATCCCCTCACGGTGGAGATGATACAGCATCAGGTATA